TCTCTGTCTCTGTCTCTCTCTCTCTCTCTGTCTCTCTCTCTGTCTCTCTCTCTCTGTCTCTCTCTCTGTGTCTCTCTCTCTGTGTCTCTCTCTCTGCCTCTCTCTCTCTGTCTCTCTCTCTCTGTCTCTCTCTCTCTCTCTCTCTCCTAAATAAGGGAAATCTACAAATGGTAGACACAATGCAGCCCTGATAGCCTAAATTGTTAGTTCATTTTACTCGGTGTTTGTGTGCCTGGTACATGGGTGAACTAGCTAGCAACAGCTGACTAATGGCACTCAGGTTGCTGGCTGTTTCAGGCTCCTCCATCGATCTTGCCTTGTCTTGCATTGCCTCACGTCCATCCGGGTCCAGTGCCAGCTTCTGGTCTCCAAAGACACATAAGTAGCTAGGTTTTTTCCAATAAAGTGGTACTCATCTATTTACTTGCCGTGTTGCATGTTTTCGAACTGCTGGGTGAGCAGCAGCCAGGGAGCGAGTGATGGGAGCTCACCCAATCTCTTGGAGCAAATCATTGGCAGTTTCGGCATCATTAAGCCCTTGTGCCCCTTCGATGAATTTTCATCCCACTTTCTTTGCTTTGAAGGGGTCTGATCCAGAGATGGCATTCAAGTTCTATTCAGTTTGGACAGACACAACAGAAGTGTCTGCAGGGACATCAAAACAGCCACAATGCAATTAAACTGTTTGCAGGTGCACCTTTTACAAGGGTGGGCTTTGAATTACCTACATCTGGACGCCACCTTTGACTTTGTTGACTGCCAGGGTCATATTTCTCCCCTCTTTCTTGCTTTCTCTTGCAGGGGGGTCCATGCTGATCTCGGCAGTGTGTTGTTTCTTCTTGTTCTTTGGCCACAGCGAGTCAGCCATGATCGGATGGCAGTGTCTCTTTTGTGGCATGAGCATCGCTGCCTGGAACGCCTTGAACGTCATCACCGTAGAGCTGTATCCCACGCATAAAAGGTGATTCATTTCCTCTGACCTCTTTTTCTGGAGAATCTCAATTTCAAGCTTTCAGGAACTTGTATCCTGGAATATTCTTAATCGGATCATGCAAAATATATTGCTTGAAAGCTCCCCTTGGGAATCTAGCCAACTTCCCCTTTATCACATCTATTTTACTGTCCAAGAAAAGAACATAGAACATAGAATAATGGGGTTGGAAGGGACGCTGGAGGTCTTCTAGTCCAACCCCCCCTGCCCAAGGCAGGATATCCCATAGCATTCTAGACTTTCTTTGGTCTTTATGGGATGGGTAGACATGATCATAGAAGGAGTAACAGAGTAACAGAACAGAATAACAGAGTTGTAAGGGACCCCTGAGGTCTAACAGTCCAACCCCTTGCTCAGGCAGGAAACCCTATACTGTTTCAGACAAATGTTTGTCCAATCTCTTCTTAATAACCTCCAGTGTTGGAGCATTCACATCTGCTGGAGGCAAGTTGTTCCACAGATTAATTGTTCTAACTGTCAGGAAAATCCTCCTTAATTCTAGGTTGCTTCTCTCCTTGATTAGTTTCCATCCATTGTTTCTCTTCCTGCCTTCAGGTGCTTTGGAGAATAAGTTGACCCCCTCTTCTCTGTGGCAGCCCCTCAAATATTGGAAGACTGCTATCATGTCACCCCTGGTCCTTCTTTTCATTAGATTAGACTAAAGGGGTCATCCTTTGCGTTATTTTTAAATTCTGATGTTGGCTAAACAACCTTTTCTCTTCGGAAAAGATATCAAAAGCTAACCTTTAGAACTCTGAGAAATGTGTTAATGGAGTTATGAGTAAAGATTTTGTGCAACTGAAACTGAAACATAAGCTGCAATAAAATATAGGAATATTT